AAAGACTGCGGAAGCTCGCCGTCAGCACGCGCTCAGCAGCAGCGCACACGGATATGGCCGCCAGTGAATACTCCCTATTAGCGGCGAGAAGTTTTAGTGGCGCCCTCATAGGGTTACCTTTCGTGACGTCATTACCTTGCGAACAACAAGTTCGATGGTGCTTGTAAGGAGCATGGTGGAAGCTTAAAATCATTGCGCTCTTAAAACAACACTACCAACACCGTTGAAATTAAAGTTCTTCCATTCCTCTTATTTCCGTCGATGAGAAATCCTTTGCTGACGTCATAGTCAGCATTCGGCCAATCATGGAAGGCCGACCACAGCGACGCTTTCGATCGCGCACGTCGTCAATACAGGCCGAGTAGCGTTGTAGGCTCGCCTTCGGGCGGGTATCACCTCCAAGCGTAGTTCCGCTGCCCCCTTTTGAGGGGATGAATTTAGATTTCTAAAACGTTTTGGTTAATATTGAGCGAGAAAAGAGAAATCTGGCGATGCTCGTGTTAGCAGTGTCGCGCAGTGTACGTCCTCTCCTACTATTCTCAGCGAGAAGTTTGGGTATCACCGCCTGGTGGAATCTTTTCACAACCCAGAGTGAGGACACTTTAAATTCCTCTGCTGGTGCAAGCACGCGCAATGCCAGGCTTCCATGCACTCTGAAAATTAAAGCAAAACCCCGCGGGAAGCACATGCACCACGTACGAGGAAAATAGAAGCGCCCCTAGCGAGCTGCTCACCGCGAATAGTCACATATATTAGAAAGGGCACTGACTGCACTGACCTTTCCAAAAAAAGGTTATGCGATTTAATATGGTGTAAGGAGACTCCTCAGTCGTTATTTTGCTACAAAATCACGTATATTTACAAAAAAAAATCTACTTGGAACCGAAACACGAGCACGGAAGCTCATGGCCGGAAGTCACGTGGCTGCACCCGACCGCGCTTTATTTATTTATTTTTTTTCTCTCAGCTTCTTCGGCATGTGAAGCAGACGACGAAATTGCGTGCACCGTTTGTCGTACCATTGTTCCGCACTTATATTCCTTCCGCTCGATGTTCTGCGCTTGAAGAGTGATTGGCCGGTACCACGAACGACGATTCCGAAGTAGAGGCCCCACATCCGTCGCAACATTGGTCCGTCGTGCGCCGGCCTCGCGTCGTCCAGCCCGCGGTACGCCCGCGGTACGTCGCCATACTGAGAATGACGTGCACATGTACTTCCTGCGTAATCCGTGCAACTTTTTTTTTTCGCTCAACGTATTTGCAGTTTTTTTTTTTTTTTTTTGAGGCGACAAGGATGGGTTTCATATTATTTTCTATATTTAATATCGAATGCATTAGATGGCCCACTACTCTGAATATATTTTGTGCACACAGTTTGAACGCCACATGACCACGGAAAAGAGAGTGAGCGCGACTGAAACCGGCCAATTCTCTACCGGATGTTTTCGGGAGGAAAGGAAACGAATTTCGAGACCCTCTCAGGTGCGGCTTATTTTGTGCACGCATATCTTGCTTGTTCATTGGCTCATCGGCCTTCTCATCGGTGAATGCTGCAACCTCATTGGCTGCGGAGTTATTAAAGGGCAACTCCACTCCAATTTTACAATTTTTGGGTTATGATCTCTTTAGTCGAAGCCGGCGGCCCTGAATCACGAGATATAATTTGTTTTTCGGTAGTGTGTATAGTTTTGTAGATATCGCGAATCCAAGTATCGTTCCGGCGGCACGGCGAAACCGAAACTACCGGTTGAAGCAGCTTGGCAACACTGATACTAGTGGCGCGTCGTCGGCATGACCTAGTTCTGGTCCCGCGCTTCTCAGCCGACGCGCCGACAAGGTCGGCTCAATCGCACGTGGGGTTTCAAAACAGAAGGTTAGATGCACATTTTCTTTTTTTACCGCTTCAATTTGTTAATATGCACGAAATGTAGTAAGTTTCAGTGTGTATTTATAAATTTGCCGGCCGAAAAGCAAATCCGACTGCTATAAATATGACGCGGTTGGTGCCGGCGCAGCGTGACTGTATTTGTTTCTTGTTCGCGGACCGAGAGAAAAAGGAATAGTGGGAGATATAGGGACATATGTATCCAAAAGCGGTCTAAGTTGCTAAGCTAAGGTGCCTTTCTGTGCACGCTAGTTAGATCAGCCGCGACCTGCTGCGTCCGGCCGATCGTGCTGGAGCAGCCGGCTGACGGTACGCGAACAGCGACGGCACCGCATCGTTCTTCAAAGACGCATGTTTCGTGGAGAAACCCGCAACAGTCAGCAGCCGCAGATCCCGTGTGTAGGTGTCTGACGTAAAGTGCTGGGAGAAGAGCTTCGCGTTGGAGCTCAGAGTCAACGGTCTTCCGAAGTCTATCCGGCGAACGGCACCGACCCACACCTTGTGCCTCTTACGGTCTTTTGGGAACTGGTGGAACCGCAGCTCCGGGTTGCGCACCGGGTTTTTGGTGCAACCCAGGTCACTACAAATCCTGCTCGACATTGCCCAACGTGAGTACGGCAAATCTCTCCGGCTCCACGACGCGCGCGTGAGCGAGCGGCACCGCTTCGCTCTCTTCCGCGCTGTCGCGGAAGCAATGCTGGAGTTAAAGGAACTGCCTGGAGGCTAATAAAAATAGGGAAACACAAAATAATGTGGTAAACACCTCGTGCCGTCAGCAGAATCGCAGAATGCCACGGGAAACGAAGCGCTCACGGCGTCCGTACGAGAGCGTAGGACTAGAACTACGTCATTGCCCAGTGTTGCTTCACTAGCTCACCCGGTGCCAGCGTTTCTCACCCGCTTTCGGGCCGCTAACCGAGGCGGGAGAACATTTTTAATATTGGTTTTAATCGATAACGCGGCGTCGGTTTGACGTAATATTTTGGGTATGACCGTATTTTGACCTCCTAAAGCAATATCAGTCATTTCGATAGGGTCGACTTTTTGAGTGGAGTTGCCCTTTAAAATGCGGGACTCACCACACCCTTCCGTTTCTTAAATTCTCGGCTTCTAGAACGGTTTTTCATTCATCCGCAGCAACAACAAAGCGCCATTTACACGCATATAACAATATAGTTCATGCACCTTTTTTTTTTTTTTTTAACGACGGCATGAACCATAACATTGGGGTAACTGGGAAAAACAGCTCGACGTAAGAGCACCGGAAAAGTCACACAGCTACAACAAAGAGAAAGAGAGAGAGGGAGAGAGAGAGAGAGAAATGGACGATCGAAGAAGAGGTAATTATCGCTTGGCAAAAACAAAATTAACGCACGGACAAAATGGGCGTTCGGCGGCACGACAGTCCGAATGACAAAACGAAGCCAATCCGTCAAGTCGGCCTTTTGAAATGAACGGGTGCAAGAATGGCGTAGTCCTTTCACGAGCCGGCGACGCAAAACGCCGCAACGTACCACGCAGCGGAACAACGCCGCTAACGCAGCTACCCCCCAGTCGCTTTACATTTCCGTCTGGGACGATGAAAGAAATAATAGGAAGGAGTAGCGAAACGACCGCACGAAATAACCAACCATACTCTCCTGCATTAAAAAAAAAACAAAAAAAAAAAAACCGGACAACAAGCAGATAGAAAAAAGGCGTCTGCAACGAGCGTTTCCGCGAGAAACCGAAGATGTTTTCCGTGCCGTCGCACTGGAATAGCTGTAAAGTGACAAGGCTGCGTTTTTATATATGTATGATTATTTGATTCCACGGCCGTTGGCTCGTCTTCAATCGAGTCACGTATTTATAGCGAACGCGCGGCTCAAACCCTAAATAAAAACACCGCCAGTGTCGTTGTTTAGTTTGTTCTTCTAAAGTTTTCCCAACATGTTTATTTATTTGTTTCTCGGGACACCTCGGGGTTCGTCTTTTACGTACGATTTCTGCATTTTAACCTTGCTCAGCATTACGGAAATTCTACGTTGGAAAATGAGCACTCGTAACCTTTTTTTTTAAAATGATTTTTATTACTTTTATGCTTGCCAAGTGCAACGACCTCGATGAGGTATGAATACTAGATACACCATTGCGTGACACTCCCGAAACGTGCTCTATATAACGAACGATCCGTCCTAATTAAGTCACGCTAGTCGTAGGTGACATATATATAGCGTGACATATCACGTTATAACAAAATGCGTTTTCTTTCTTTTTTTTTTTTTTTGGAAGGAGCTACGCTGCATGCGTGTATGCACGATCTCTTTAATTTCTGTTACCGCAGTGGTCAAAACTAAAAAACACGCTTAGCTCAAAAAAAAAAAAAAAAAAAAAGATAGAATGCGCTAAAAACAAGGCGGCCTTGGGACCAGCACGCAGAAGAGCTGCCATAAAAAATAACGGAACCTAACATGCGATCAGATGCGAAACCCGAATTAGGACTGCATATCCAAAAGAGGCGACTTTTGAGAACAACGCCGTTGTCATTGGAGAACAATTACCCGAGCTCGGTCGCCTACAACTACACTCTAAAATGGTTGGAGGCGTAGGCGCAAAAGGCATGGGCATAAGTGAGTTACTCTAAGTGCAGCCGAGGCCACGCAAAAGTGCTTTCCCTTGTGCCAAATGGCGAGAGAGGGGATAACGCTCTTAAATGTGCCAACGGAAAAAAAAAAAAAAAAAAAGAAAAAAGTAAACAGGTCGCAGTAACTTCGACAAAGGATACTGCCTGCGCTCAAATAGTTTGCATTGCAAGCCTAGAGCTGCTAGAGCACTGAGAGACACACGCCTCTCATCCAAGCGTGAGCGCTCGATGTCAAGTTTTGTTTTCATTCCTCGTAATTGGTAAGCACAACGCAGCTCCTGCTGATGAGTCTAACGTCGAGTACGCTCCGAGCGAATAACTAGATGTACCCAAACTCCGCAGTATGTACGCACTGGAAGACATTCGTGACGCAGGAACTGTAGAAGTAGTAAATCGAGTCGTGGTTTTGCTAGCAGACGACACTTCTTCTGCGGCACCACCGGCGACGCGCGTTTTGCTGTAGTCGCACGAGGACAAAATGCGTCGCCTTACCGTGTCGCCAAGCATCCGACGATCGAGAGTGCTCCAGTTGTCGGAGCGCTGCAGTGTTGGTATAAATCCAGGCACAAAAGAGTTGCTTTTTTTTTTTTTGCGTTGAAGAAATAAAACAAGAACACCGTTATCGCACCATCCCGGAGTCAACTCGCGAGAAAGCGTTCTTCGGAGCGCGCGGTCGTCCGCGTTTTCGGGCCGCTCGCACGGCGAAAGCACATTACCATGGGGTAAAGGGCAAGGGAACAAGACGACTTTCCTTCTCACTTATGCGCAGAGAGGATAAGAAAGCTTCCGGAAGTACGCATGGCATGGTGGTCAACAAAACTTTAAATCCTTCTTTATCAAATATTATGACGTTATATAAAATCCAAATAAATGCTTCGTTTTATTTATTTAATAAATTAAAATATCTTACAAAACAAGCTCGTTTAAGCCCCCCATATTTTATTTGCGTTTTCCACGTTTGTTGGTTGGTGCTGCCATCTAGCCTTTTAAATCCCAACCATATTCGCCGTCTGCCGTCTGATTCCGTAGGTTATTTTTCTCGGTGTTCCGCATAGGTTATCGCGACCAACCTGGAGCACCTAGCCGTGTTCAATTTGAGTATGACCTTTCTAAATAGGTTCCACTGGTTCCACTGATAGCTCACGCCCCGTACTACCTTACAGCCCGGTCGACCACGAGAACCATCGTGGTCTCAAGTCCGCCTCGAGTGCCAGTGCCCGCGAGATTCTGCCCTCGCATCGACCTTCATCGGCACCTCCGATAGTACGACCATGGCTGCAGTTCGAAGTATCGTGACCGTCCCCAGCCGCCTGCGCCTCGGCTGGCGAGCCCCGGGCCTGAATCGACGGTCCCTAAGCACGTCGCGAACTCTGGGCGCCCAGATGACCGTCCGCGATGCCCTCAACGCCGCAATGGACGAAGAGATGGAGCGCGACGAACGGGTCTTCCTGATGGGCGAGGAAGTTGCCCAGTACGACGGCGCCTACAAGGTCAGTCGCGGTCTGTGGAAAAAGTACGGCGACAAGCGAGTCATCGACACCCCCATCACCGAAATGGGCTTCGCCGGGATCGCCGTCGGAGCCGCCTTCGTCGGGCTGCGCCCCATCTGCGAGTTCATGACGTTCAACTTCTCCATGCAAGCCATCGACCACGTTGTCAACTCCGCCGCCAAGACCTTCTACATGTCGGCCGGGAACATCGCGGTTCCCATCGTGTTCCGAGGTCCCAACGGGAACGCAGCGGGCGTCGCGGCCCAGCACTCGCAGTGCTACGCCGCCTGGTACGGCCACTGTCCCGGCCTCAAGGTGATCTCTCCGTACAACTCGGAAGACTGCAAGGGACTCCTCAAGGCCGCCATCCGGGACCCGGACCCGGTGGTCTTCCTCGAGAACGAGCTCATGTACGGCATTTCGTTCGAGGTGCCCGACGAAGTCAAGAGCAAGGACTTCGTCCTGCCCATCGGCAAGGCCAAGGTTGAGAGGGCCGGGCAGCACGTCACCCTGGTGTCGCACTCCAAGGCGGTCGGGACCTGCCTGGACGCGGCGCAGGAGCTGGCCAGCGTCGGCATCGACTGCGAGGTCATCAACCTGAGGAGCATCCGGCCCTTGGACGACCAGGCCATCCAGGCGTCGGTGATGAAGACCAACCGGCTGGTGACCGTCGAGAACGGGTGGCCGCACTTCGGGATCGGGGCTGAGATCTGTGCCAGAATCGTCGAGAGTCCCGCCTTCGACTACCTCGACGCACCGGTCATCAGGGTGACCGGGGCGGACGTACCCATGCCCTACACGGCGTCCCTCGAGGTCGAGGCCGTGCCTACCGTCGCGCACGTCGTGCTCGCCGTCAAAAAGATGCTGAATGTGGCGCAGTGAATGACTGTTGCTGGAGGACTGAGGACCGGGCTCGCCGTGAAAGAAGCCAAGACAAAAAATAATCGGCTTGTTTTGATGAGAACTCGTGTGGGGATTCAAGTCTGCTGAAACATGATGCCCCTTCACATATCTAGGGTGTAGTTTACGCGGCATTTCTGCTACACTTCGACATGTCTTTGCCGGGTGGTCTTGATGTGGCCCAGCACATAAAAAAAGAAAATATCTTATTTCTTGCAATTTATTTTGCAAGTTGCCATTCTACATCTTTTTATGTAGGAAGACTTTAGCATGTTATAGTCAGTGACAAGGTGAGAACGGCAAGGAGGAGTGTCAGTTGTCCCTCACCCAGCGCGTGAGCTTCCTACTTTCGACCCCTGAAGGCATGGAGCGCGTGCTGGAGGCCTTGGGAAACACGCCCTGCCGCTCTCATTCTGTTTGTGACCCTTTCTGAGCAATACTTTCCTGGATATGTGCATATATCTGTTTTGCAGTTCATCTTCTGTAATGACAAAGGAAAACTATAGAGCATTCGTTTTCTATTTAGTCACAAAGAAATGGCCTGTGCCTCGAGAATTTCAATTCAATTGCTTAAACAGCTCACCTTGCTCATTCATATGCACGACAGCTATACCTAGGTTTGTTTATTTGCAGATTTAGTTTTGCGAAAAAGGGGGAGGGGAAATCAAAATCGGATTTTTTGACGATTTCAGGATACAAGCTGCACATTTCTTCAGGGTGAAGGAAAAATTTTACTTTATTACCAGCAAAGACGAGTCACTTGACCATATTTTACATGCAAGATGTTCTCAGCTGGTGGTCCAGATAGCCCTTACCTGACTTCTACTGCAATTTACACTGTAAACGACTGATATATGACAATTTGTTTTTTGTGGATAGACAAGTAACTGAGCTACCTAACCATAGTAATACAGTTGTGTCTCGTTAATATGAACCCTGTTATTACGAAAATTGGGGGGAACTGTGGTGTCCATATTAACGAGACCCAATGACCAGCTTATTTCCAATTGCGGAATTTCATTTCCATTATATATTTTTAAATAAAGTACCGTAAATTTTGCAAAGTAATGTGGAGCGCAAGTTCGTCTGCTTTTGCAGGGGCTGTGGTGACGTCGGAATGCCAGGCCCTGATTGGCTCTGCTTGAAGGATAGTGGGTAGACCTCAAGGCAGCTTGCTTTGAGGTCTACCCACTTTCCTTCACTCGGAGCCAATCAGAACTCTGCGTCTTTCTGACGTCACTGCAACCCCAGCAAAAGAATCAGACGACTTGCTCTCCGCATAATGGTACCACAATTATAGCCACCTACAGCAGGCACGTAGCCAGGGGAGAGCTCCTCCCCCCCCCCCCCCCCCCCTCGAAATCTTCCATTTTGCCGGGGGCCTCCTCTACCCCCTCTCCCTCATACAATACCTTGTCATGGGCGGCCCCCCCGCCCCCGAAACAAAATCCTGGCTATGTGCCTGATCTACAGCAGATTTCTGCTATGTATGGCATTTTCCATGTCGAAACAATTCTGTTAAACTGGTCTAAACAACTTAAATTTCCTCTTTTTTTTTCTTTTTTTTTGAGGAAGTGGATTTAGTTTGGTTTTGATAAAATATGTTTAAAGTGCAAATACCGGCTCAAGTTATGTTTCAGCCGAAAATGAGGAACCCTTCTCAGTGTCGCACCTCATCAATAATGTGCTGGAGGGCAACTTATGATTGTTTGTTGAGCATGACCCTTGCATTAGACGAGTGCAAAAGAGTTGTAAATTGCTGTTTTGTTTCTAGGAATGAGTTAAGTGCTGAACTACTTGCCAGTTTGTTGTCTGACTGAGATGCTGCGTGTCAGCTGTGTGTTGCAGCCATTATTTATTATAGGTGCAATAAATCAAATAAATCTGACAAGAGGACACCTTGTTCTTGAAACAAACAGGAAATGCATGTTATGCATTTGCTTTTGTGAGTATGACTGGGACTTGCAGTGACTACACTTTGCTTCTGGGTACCCTCACAAATATTCATGTTTATAGTTTATGAATCATGAGCATGAGAGTATGGGATGCACATGCTTGCTTCACAATTCCTCTGTGTTTTTCTTCTCTCCATTTTGTTTTGGTTTAGTTGTCTGGAGTACTCTGTTCTGGCATTTGAAATCTTCTATATTTATTATACTGCTTCCTTCTAAAATGTTATCATGCCCTAGAGATACAGCAGTTAGATGTCTTCACTCCGACCTTGGAATCTTGCTGGAGCAGACTTTCGTCTTCCTGTTCTCTTTTAGGTGAACTGAACCCTTGGCGTTTTTCGCACTTTAGTTGTGGTTTTGTTGTTTGAATCGCTTACTTCAGTATCTTGAAATTACCTGAACTCCATTCCTCCCCCTTCGTTTTTCGCAAACATTTTTTTTAATCGCTATTCAGCATGTATTTTTCCCTAATTTCCCCGGTGAGTATGGATTATGTCGTACATTAGTTTTAATTTTTACCCAGTTTATTTGACTACCTTCTGCATGTCCTACCCAGAGGATTTCAACGGTGAATAGTTTTCAAAAGATTTTCCCTTTTGCACCTCCTAGAGGTAGGTCGGCTTGGCCATCATGTTGAGGTGGAGAGAGTGTATGACCATCTCGTTGAAGTCATGAACTTGGCTCGCAGAATTTAAAATAAATCTCGTACCGTCAATACTGCTCTGAGCTGCTTTTTTTTTTTTTTTTTTTCTCGTGTATTTGTTTTTCTTTTTTAGTGATTTTTTTAACTTGCAAAAATTTCGGGAACGAATCACAGCTTTTTTATTATTCATTACGTACTATATTTCCATAGTACTGTTCGCATGTCATACAGTTCTCTGCCAAGAATATCTTGTACTTCAGAGAAAAGACCCTCTCACTGGTGCGATCCTTTCATATAACCGCATATTTTATCTATTCACAACTCGGGGGAGCCGAAGAAGGACAAAACAGCGGGACCACAGCCGGAAAAGCGGGACCTGTCCTGCTTCATCGGGACGTAAGTGTCGACGTGCCGATACCCGGCACCACAAAAACGAAGAAAACGCGTGGAGGTCACAATCACTGCGCTCATCGGCTCATCCCACAGAATTTCGTTATTTGAAGGTGAGAAACAGCACGGGAATTTCTCAAACAGTGACAAAGGCGTCTGAAGGTTTCCAGCTAAACGTAGAGGGAAAAACGGAAGGAGGGAATCTTTGTCCACTAAGGCGATGGGGAAGCTGGGGAAGATTGGGAAGATTCTGTAAGCGCCGCCTCTACTACGCTATTTCCCAAAGAAAAGCTGTATCTGCAGGGAGCGCCCCATGTGAGCCAGAGACATATACGGCTCTGATGTGAGCAACACAGTCTGGAGCATTCGGAGAATGGACCTTTTCAGAGAAGCGCTCTCCGCATGCGCGAGCGCCCAATGCCAAGCGGCAGGAGTCGGCACAAAAAATCGAGGAAATTCGGAAGAAGGCGGTGTATCAGCGAGCCGAACACGTAATTGCAGCATATATATAATTGTGTTACACAAAAAAAGATAGTGGGCGGTAAGAAAAACAGGACATTTGGCTGGACGCCACAATGCCCCTCTTTAAAGTCGCATTGGGCACGCGTCGCAGCTCAGAGAGCGAAGAAACTGGTAGCGTAGCTCCCATTATACCGGGTGATTCAAGGAGGTGGCAGACTCTTTAAATTGACCGGAAAATTCAGTTTCTTACCCTATTGGGCAGGAGATCGAACTATAGGGGGCGCTCTGACCCGTTTGTATTCCCCACGCTCGGTGTTTACTCAACACAAGGCCTGTGCACATGCCGACAGGCCTAATGGGCATGGCCATGTCATCTTCTACAATAGAGCGCGGGGCACAGTTTAAGGCTGCGGTCCCACGGCAGCCATCTTGAACAAGGCTTTAGTTCAACCAATAGATGGCGACACGTACCCGTGGGGTGGCCGAAACATTGGTTCACAGTGGGATGGCTCGAGCACCATCACGTTCCCCTCGTGACCTTGCTCGCGCCGCTGCCAGCTGTGCTCAGCTAGCTCAAGTAGCGTGGCCCAGCAAACGGATGTATGCGGAGATGCGGTTCGGCGGTTGTAACGGGCTTTCACAACAAATCTTACCAAGAAGGAATCAAATGTTGATTGACGTGTTAATATTCTATCAATGAAAATTTCTTCTGAAGGAAGGCGCGCTCAGTAGACTCAATCTTCCAAGACACGAGTGGAAGCGGACGTCAAGTCGCGATTTACGGTGCTTACCTCAGCATTTTAATGACGACTAAAAAAGGTCACGAAATATTGTGTTTCACGGGGTCCGGCAGATGTTGTAAAGGTTGTTACATTATAGGTTCCCAGAAAACAAACGCCGTTGCACTATTTTGGGAAGTACCGACACACATAATGTTGTAAGTACAGCTTAGGAGGAATATGATGAAAACCATCAGAAGAAATAGGAAGACGTTTATTTGCAATGATGACGCTATGAATGAACGGCGTTTAGCGACGGCAAGTTATGAGCGTTCGGGAATTTATAAGTTCACGTGATTGCTAACTATGGACATGCGTTTTTGTCGGGAGATGGTGTTGCGGTGATGACCTGATATCGGACGACTCGTGGCAGGCGAACATGCAAGTTTCTTCTAAGCGAATGGTAAGTGTCCAGTGTCAAGCACAACACGTGGCTACCGACGTTGTCGACGTTTCGAACACTTACCGCTTTCGACAAAGTCCTGGCACCTGGGCTAACTTCCTGGAAAGACTCGAAGTCTTCCTTGAGTCCAACGCCATCATGAACAGTAACTGAAAACGATCCACTATTCAATCGGTGGGCGGCGAAGCGTATCCGCATCTGCGGAGTCATAGACGATGCGTACTCTATGTGGTTGGAAGTTTACACGATGCCTGCCACGACGTCCAAACACGTCATTGACGTTCTACGGTCCCTTTTACCTACTTTTGCCCTACCGAAAATACTTTTCTATGATAACGCGCCAAATCTTGCTTCAAACAAAATAAACGTTTTTGAAGAAAAAAAAAAAAACCGGCATCAGGCATCACATTAGTGCACCATACCATCCTGTAACTAACAGGCATGTGGAACAGATGGTGTGCGAAATAAAAAAAAAAGTAAAAGCCGTTTACAACTCCCTGTAACACCGAATTGGAGCGCAGCTCTTGAGGAGGAGGAGGGAAGGGTACTGGGGAGGGGTGAAGTGACCTTGGGGGTCACGTGACGATGACGATGATGTCATTATTGACGTCACTGTTGACGTCATCAGTGACGATGACGATGCGGACTCCGATGACGTCACTGATGACCTCACCGGCATCCGCATCGTCATCGTCATCATCACTGATAACGTCACCAGTGACGTCAATAATGACGTCACCGGCATCCGCATCGTCATCGTCATCATCACGGATGTCATCAGTGATGATGACGATACGAATGCCGGTGACGTCATCGGGGAGGTCACGTGATCCCGGGGGGTGGTCACGTGACAGGGGTCGCGTTACCCTGGGGAGGGGTCACGTGACCTTGGGGTGACCTTGGGATGACCTTGGGGGTCCCGTGGCCTTGGGGTGACCTTGGGGGGTCGTGTGACCTTGGGGTGACCTTGGTTACGCCGACGCCGCTCAAGCCGGGAACGGGCCCCTAAGAGCTGCGCTCTAAAAAAAAGCCCCTTTGAAGCTTACGGAAGAAGCAGTTCAGTGAAGAATTGCCAGGTTGTTGTTCCAGCAGCAAGCGACGGTCTCATCTTACACGGTAAAAACATCCGCCGAAGCAATATTCAGCGGACGAAGAGCCACACCCCTCGATGTCATGATACCATGGCTTACGAACGAAGATCGAGAGATTCCCAGATCGGGAGTAATTTCAGTTTATTCGGTCGGAGAACTCGTCTACGTAAGGAATTTCATCGGAAGTCGGGCCTTCCATGTAAAACTTGAGTAGAAAAGGCTCTATGTTGGTTGACCAGAAGGTGTCATCTCTCTGAATACGTTGGATATCAATGCCCTTGAGTGTAAATATAACTAAATCACAAAACTCTCTTTGTGTATTCTGTAACTGCCTTTGTATTTCATAGTAGAAGCTATGGTGGTGATTTGTACCTTTCGCACCAGGCTCCATTTTCTTATTTTTCGCCTCACACTCCTTTGCGGTTTAAGTATGCTTCAAGAATCTTTTGGAACGGGGACACTTTACGTCAACGAGGCCATTTGTTCCAAGTAGTCAATCAGGGAATTCCGCTAGAAATTCAATCCTCCTTTTAAGGAATAAGCCGCACTTCTGCACAGTGCAGTTGTAAAGCAGCATCCTCATTGATTCTACCATATTCTGTTGCGGGTGAAGAAAGTATTTGGGTACACGATACTTGAAACAAGTCTGGCACTGTACGTTGTGGTTCGACACCCACTAATGTCGTCGTCCTTATAGAGTCTCATCATTTAATCATTACATCGTCACCTCACATCGCTCTTCATCAACAGTAAGTAGAATAGGCTATCGCCATATTACAATCCAAGAATGAAAAATTGAGTTGTTCAGTCCTTCAACAAGTTTATTATTTATATAATGTTATTACGTTACATTACCTCGAGACGATCGACGTCCATCGTCGATCTTATAATACTTATACCTGTATATAAATTAGACGCACAAGGGGGGAGGGGGGGGGGGGGGGGGTCGGTGGCCGAGTGCATGGTGTAGCGCACACCAGCTCGGAGCACTTGGAGCGGAAGCTCGCGCTGCAGAAGCCACCCCGCCCCTGCCCGTTTCGATCTGGAAGAGCAGCGTACCGGCGTGCGGTCGTGTGCATCAGTACTGCGTGGTGGACGTTAAAGACGCCAGGTTTGCGGTTGTACCGCACTGGCTAAACTGCTCATCTACAGCTGAGAGTCAGGCGCCCACTAAGGCGGACTAACTTCCGGCTGTATA